TTTAAACGGAAAAACTCGAAAATTATTGAAGAATAATCTAATTTCCACTAAACAACAACAAAAATATGACCTGTCTATTTTATTTTTTAAATTAAACTTACGCATCTAAACTTTTTATGGTGTCTTTGCACCCTCGACCCAACGCCTACTAAAAATGTATATACTGGAACCACCGGTGACATGGAAAAAGGCCCTTGACTCATCATATGCAGAAAGTTGCTAAAAATACAAAAAGTAAAAATAAAAAAAAATTGAAAAACTATATTTCTACTAAAAGGGGAATTTAATTAGAAAAACCTCGATTTTACACCCTTTTTTTTGTTTTTTTAAATAATTTGATTTACCTGGAACCTGCAAATATAGTAATCGTTGCCAAGCAAAGCTCTGAAGCCTTCGATAGGCTTTCTGGTTGGGTGCCTTGGACTGAAGGCGACGCTCATGTTGACCAAAGCTTTGACTCTATCGGGCCTGAAGAGGCACAAGTACCAGGCGATCACCGCTCCCCAGTCGTGGCCCACAACGAAGATCTGGTCGAGACCCAGATGGTCCAGCAGGCCCACCAAGTCGCCGACTATGTGGAACACCGTGTACGACTCCGGCGACGGCGGCGCGTCGGTCTCGCCATAGCCGCGGAGGTCGGGAGCGATGCAGCGGTAGCCGAGGGAGGAAAGGGAGATCATCTGGTGCCGCCAGGAGTACCAGAGCTCGGGGAAGCCGTGGAGGAATATAATTGCCGGAGCAGTGGTGCTCCCGATTGATGCCACGTGCATGTTTATGCCGTTTGTGGGGACCGTTGTGTGCTCGATCTTCTCCATGTTTTCGGATGAGATGAGATATTGGTCGTTTTTGGTTTGTTTTCGTTTTTGCTCTGTTTTTGGATCTTATGATTAGTAGGAGGAGAAAGCAATGCGAAGTTCAATAGGTGTTTTTAAAGTGAAGGTGTTGACTGACCAAGCTTTTTAGCTCATTAATCAAAACACATCAAGAGTCTTGTGTGTGTTTTTTTGGGACAATTTTATATGGCATTGTAAAAAAAAAA